TTTGCAAAAAAATGAAAAGGTTAGAGACCGTTACTGCAATTTTTTCTATTTTTAATCTTATGTAAATTTATTTAAATAGACATATATAAAATTAAGTAAAAGGATATCAATCTAAATTCATCCACTAATATTTATTTTCAAAAATTTCTTTTGAAGAAAATTTTTGGAGTTTTCTGTTTTTTCTTTGCAACTCCACCGTCAGTAGTGATCTGTTTTTACATGAAACGATGCACTTACTATATAAAGCAGAACAAAGTTTGTCGGAAGAACTTGTAATGGTGTAGCAGATTTGCAGGAAGTGATGGTTGTACACATCAACAAGTACGATATTGACCTGAGAGAGAGAGAGAGAGAGAGAGAGAGAGAGTTATAAGCAAAATCCATCCTATGAAATAATGATTGATGTCTAGATTTACAGAAACATTCTTGCCGAGGAAATGAAATATTTTGAATAAAAAGTGTTCTTCATGATAAGATAAAATATTAGGAACGGTTCTTTTCGTATTTCAATTTTTTAGTTTAGAATTTTGAATTCAGTTTGATTTTGTGTTTTGAGTGTTCATTTTGAAATTGTTGAAAACATGTTATTTTTGTCATTTGAAAAATTCTTTTCAAAAATAAAAATAAAAATAAAAATGAAGTTTTGATTTGATTTTAACTGAAAACAACCAAAACGATTTTTTTGACGTTTTTCCCTTTTTTTTGTAAATTTTAAATTCGTTTTTGGAAATTCGATTCTAAAAATAAGTAAGTAAATGCATTTTCAGTGTTTTCGAAAACTGAAAACTGAAAATGCATGTTCTCCTTACCGTTTTCTGTTTTCGATTTTCAAAACAGTGAAAATGGGTTCTCTTTTCTATTTTCCAAAACACATTTTTGAAAACAAGTTAAAAATTTACAAAGAAAACTCAACTCAAAACGACAAATTTGTCGTTTTGAGTGTTTTCAATCACTAGAGAGAGAGAGAGAGAGAGAGGGGAGGGGAAAGTAAACGTGTTTTCCATTTTTTTTTATTTTTGAAAACAATTTTTCAAAATGTCAAAAAGAACACATTTTCAACAATCTCAAAATGCACATTCAAAACACAAAATCCAAAATGAATTCAAAACTCAAAACACAAAACACAAAATTGAAATACAAAGAGAACAACCCCTTAGGTGCCGTTCTCTTTGGCTGTTTTGGG